CTTCAACAAGGACCTGGCTTGCTTCTCGGAGAAGGTCCTGTATCTCCCAGGGGGCAAGCGCAAGGCTGGGATCGAGGACAAGTTCCTCGCTGGGCTCTACCTGGGGCCCACGCTTCGGACGGACGAGGTCTACATTGGCACGGAGTTGGGCGTACTGCGGGCCAGGGCCTTCAAGCGGTTGACGGTCGAGCAGCGGGCCGACAAGGACCTGCTGAACAGCCTCGTGGGGAAGCCGTGGGCGCCGGTGCCGACGGACGTGGAGGTGGACGAGGTGCCGGTGGCCATCGAGATCCGAGCGCCGGTGCCAGCGCCGGTCGCGCCTTTGGGCGGACCTCTGGCGCCCGTCCCCGAGGCTGGGGACCTCCCGCCCCGGGCTCTCCGAGTCGGGCGACCACCGGCAGGACCGCGGGCCGTCTACATCAGGAAGGACGTCGAGATCGCGAAGTACGGGCTCTCCCCGGGCTGCTACGGCTGCGCCGCGATCCTCAACGGCGCCCGGGCGCAGGCTCACTCAGCCGAGTGCCGCGCTCGGATCGAGCAGGCGATGCAGGACGACGAGGAGGCAAAGCAGAGGCTCGAGGATGCCCGGGAGCGGAAGCGGCATCGCACTGACGTCGCCGGGCCTGTCTATCAAGAGGGCGGCTCGTCAGGCAGCGGCGGTCCAGCCCCAGCTCAGCAGGTGCCGCCAGCACCCGAGGCCGCGGCGGCGGCTGACGCGGCGATGGCTCCGGCACCACACGACCCCGGCAACGACGACATGCAGGAGGAGATCGGTGCCCTCCTGCTCTCTCTCGGCTACAGCGGGCGCAAGGCCGACGTGATGGAGGTCTTCTGCCCGAATAGGCTTGTGGGCTTTGCCCCCCTCTTCGGTCTGGTTCACGGCGGCTCGTTCGACCTGAGGGTTGGCTGGGACCTGACCGACCGCCAGCAGCAGCGACAGTGCCGGGAGCTGATCGAGCACTTCGAGGTGTACTTCCTCTTGGGCAGTCCTCGCTGCGCGCCGTTCTCCATGCTGAAGTACCTGAATGAGGACACGGAGAAGCAGCGTGAGGCCTACGCCATCGGGTACGAGCACTTGAGGTTCGTGATGGAGCTCTACACGCTGCAGGTGAAGCACGACCGCACGTTCTTGCACGAGCACCCCTGGAGCGCGGACAGCTGGGACCTGGACATCGTGAAGGATGTGATGGCTCTCCCGGGTGTCGAGGTCGGGCGAGGCGACCAATGCGTGTTCGGCCTGGCGGTTGCGGACGCGCACGGCGACAGGCTCGCCAAGAAGCCGACAGGGTGGATGAGTGATAACAAGGAGGTGTTGGATGAGGTCTGCAAGCGCTGCCCCAATGATACTGGCATTGGCAGCCGCCGCGAGCATTCCACCTTCGTCGGCCGCAACATGCGTGTGGCGGAGAGGTACCCGGTCAAGCTCCTCCGCGCCATCCTCCGTGGCCTCCGCCGTCACCTTAGCAACAAGAAGGTGCTCACGCTTTCGGCCCTGGATGCTGGGCCGAACGTGGCGGATGAGGAGATCAGCTTGAAGGACTTCGTCGGGAAGTGGCGCGACACGCTGAGGACCGAGTTCTACGACGACCTCACCGGCCTCCCGCTGGACCCCACGCGGGTGAAGGCCGCGAGGCGCCTGGAGATGGATTTCATGGCGCAGCTTGGCGTGTGGGTCTACGCGAGGGAGGAGGACTGTCAGCGCGAGCTTGGGCGGAGGCCTCTCAGTGTGCGCTGGGTTGATATCGACAAGGGCGACGCCGACCGGCCGGATCGCAGATCCAGGCTCGTCGTGCAGGAGACCAAGGCGCAGAGCACCATCGCCGGGGGCGACATTGGCGCGGTGTTTGCGGCGACCCCGCCGCTAGAGTGCCTCCGGCTCATCTGCAGCATGGTGATGTCGAGCGACCCGTCCGAGGGCCGCGTGCTGCGCTTCTTGGACATCTCGCGGGCACACCCGCACTGTGATATCAAGAGGACGGTCTACATCAAGCTTCCAGAGGAGGATCCGATGTCGCAGGAGATCGGTACGTGTGGGCTCTTGCGGATGGCGCTCTACGGGACGCGCGACGCTGGCCAGAATTTCGAGCTCGCGACTGCCGAGACGGTCATCGGTGCTGGCTGCGACCAGTCGGCCTTCTCGCCTTGCGTGTACTGCCACAAGGACCTCCAGGTGAGCTTCTTCCACCACGGCGACGACTTCGTGCTCGAGGGCTCTCGGGGCGGGACGGAGTCGATCTGCGAGGCCCTGAAGACGAAGTTCATCGTGAAGGACAGGGGCGTGCTCGGGCCGGCGCCTACCGACGCAAAGGGGATCACGTTCCTCAACAGAGTAATGCGCTGGCGAGACCGATGGTGCCAAGGGGGCGAGGCCATCGAGTACGTGGCGGATCCCAGGCACGCGCAGATCTTGCACGCGCAGCTTGGAATGGACCCCCGCACCACGAAGTCATTGAGCACGCCAGGGCTGAGCCAGAAGCTTACACCTGAGGTCGAGCGCGAGCTGAACGAGCACGAGGCGGCAGAGTACCGCAGTGCGTGCATGAGGCTGGGCTACTTGGCGCTCGATCGGCCAGGGGTGCAGTTCGCGGCCAAGGAGTGCGCTCGCGGCATGCAGAGGCCGACAGAGCGACACCTCCGCCTTCTGAAGCGCGCTGGGCGATTCTTGATCGGGGCGCCGCGGGCCATCTGGAAGTGGGGCCGACAGCGGGCACCCACAGTGATGGACATCTATTCGGACACCGATTGGGCAGGCTGCCCGATCGCGCGGAGGAGCACCAGTTCGGTCGTGATCAAACATGGGCAGCACCTGATCGTTACGGCATCGACGACTCAGATCCCCATCTCCATGAGTTCGGGGGACGCTGAGTTCTACGGCTGTGTGCGGGCGGCCAGCAGGGCCATCGGCATGCAGTCACTGTGCCAGGGCCTAGGCAGGGACGTGAGCCTTCGCATCTGGAGCGACTCGGCAGCTGCTCTTGGCATCATGCAACGACGAGGCTGCGGCAAAGTCCGACACCTCGAGACGCCGACGCTGTGGGTGCAGAAGGCACTCAAGGACGGACGGTTCCAACTGGCTAAGGTTCCCGGGAAGTCGAACCCGGCGGACCTGGGGACGAAGTTCCTCGACCAGGCGGCGATGCTCCGAGGGCTGGAGATGATAAATGTCAAGCTCTCGGACGCGCCCCTCTCGAGTGCCCTTCAGGCGAAGGTCTGAACTGAGGGGCACGATCGGCCATTTTGGCCTGGCCATTTCGGCCTGCAGTCTTTCGCTCCGCGCTGTCATTGCCTTGGACGGGCTACGGCCGTCAGCGCGGCTATTGCGTGTTTTTTGATTGCAGTGCTCGACCAACGCCTTGGTCCAGAGCGCTGTGCACTGACAATGAGTTTCGGAGCTTTTCGGGATTCGAGTATCGTGCCTGGCTGAAGAGCTAGGCGGCACGAAGGGGGCTGCAGGAATCCAGAGACCCCCAGCAGGTTTACTGACAGAGATCATGCCATTGCTGGTATGGCTCAAGGCAAGCATCCGAAGAAAAGATCTCGCCATTCCTCCTCGCTGTTTTTTTTCAAATGCCTTCCTCCGCCTTTCCCGGGTCCTCCTTTTCCTCTCGATCCGTCCGCGTTAGTTCCTGCTGCTGTTGTTCGTCCTCATCCTTTCCCTTCCGCTCATCCTTCTGCTCACCCACCACCTCCTACTCCTGTGCACGCAGCTCCAATTCTCCGAGTGCGCATAACACGAAGTGGTCTTTCTGTGTGAGTCACAGGTCGGTTATGACATGCCTCCGCGGATAGAGAAAAATCAGCGCCATGGGAAGGGATGGGAGGGAGGGGTATACAGTAATGTCAGATGAGGCGCAAGCGCACCTAGCTTGTCCGTCCTCTTTCGGCCACTGGCCCGCAACGCACTCGCCCTGGAAGACGGATAGCTCTCCTGGGGCAGGCACCTGGAGCGGAAGGCATTGAAGGTTGCAGCGCTCGCCATGGTGAACGCGCATACCTCACACATGCTTCCGACACTGACCCATCCTGCGCAGGGACAACGTGATGCGGCCGTCGCCCGGCGTCCTTGGTTCTTGTCCCAGCACTCGTCCATGATCCCATACCCCTGACGCGTGATTTTTTCACAACGTCGACCCCAGAGGTCTGGACCCCTTCGCTGGGACAGGTTTAGTTTTTTGACGGTCCTGGGGCCTGGTGAGGGCCCCCAGAGGCCGAACATGATAGGTTTTTCATTCTGAGTCGTTTTTTGACGGTCTCTGGGCCCAGGAGGGACCCCCGGAGGCCGAAAAGAGCGAAAATTGTCCGCCCTCCTCCTCCTCCTCCTCCTCCTCCTCCTTCTCCTATTCGTCCTCCTCCTATTCGTCCTCCTTCTCGTCCTCCTCCGTCCCCCGATGGGACCGAGGAATGCCATGCGGCCCGCTTCGGCCTGAACTCGTTCGATACCGGTGTTTGCAGGAAAGAGTTCCTTCCTGCTTTACGCGGCCCTGGCCGCGGCGCAGTCGCCGCAACACCCGCTGGCAGAGGTCTGCCGCAGCAGAGCTTGGACCCCTAGCATACATATCTTCCCGCAGGGGCATCTCAGTTTTTTGTCTTTGGACTAGGAGCCCGCCCCCAGGCGCCTTTACCGTTGTATACCTCGTCCCCCTCCTCCTCCTCCTCTTCCTCCTTCTCCTCCTCCTCCTCCTCCTCCTCCTCCTTCCCCCTCCTCCTCCTCCTCCTCCACCTCCTCCTCCTCCTCTCTCCTCCTCCTCCTCCTCCCCCTCCTCCTCCTCCTCCTCCTCTCCTCCTCCGCCACCTCCTCCTCCCCTCCTCTTCCTCCTCCTCCTACTCCTCCTCCCCTCCTACCTCCACCTCCTCCTCCTCCCCCTCCTCCTCCTCCTCCTCCTCCTCCTCCTCCTCCTCCTCCTCCTCCTCTTGCTCGTCCTGCTGCTGCCGCTGCCGGTCCGCTGCCGACCCTGCGCCGCCCACCACCTGCGGGAGCACCCTCGGTGCCCCGCGCCCAGCTCGGCAACGACGACGACGCTTTCATCCACCTGCAGAGGGCGCGCCGCCGCCTCCACCATGCGTCCAGACTGCTCTTCGGGGGGGCGCCGATGATGATGTCATCAGGAGGAGGAGGAGGAGGAGGAGGAGAGGAGGAGGAGGAGGAGGAGGAGGAGAGGAGGAGAGGAGGAGGAGGCGGAGGTGGAGGAGGAGAGGAGGAGGAGGAGGAGGAAGAGAGGAGGAGGAAGAGGAGGAGGGGGGGGAGGAGGAGGAGGGGGAGGAGGAAGAGGAGGAGGAGGAGGAGGAGGAGGAGGAGGAGAGGAGGAGGAGGAGGAGGAGGAGGTGGACGAGGAGGGGACGAGGAGGGGGAGGAGGAGGGGAGGGGGGAGGAGGAGGAGGAGGAGGAGGAGGAGGAGGAGGAGGAGGAGGAGGACGGGGAGGAGGAGGATGAGGAGGAGGAGGAGGAGGAGGAGGAGGAGGAGGACCCGACGCATCCGATGCCGAGGGAGGGAGTTTGAGAATTTCTGGTTCGAGGCTCTCAGTTTTCGAGCGTTTTCGTCGGTCCTCGGCCGATGGACAGCATCGGGACGCGTTCCCGCGGCTGGGCCTCGCCGAGAGGCATCCGGGGGTGTCCAGATTGTCCCGAACGGGCGCGGGAGACCCGAGGTATGACTCGAAGCCAAGCGACGATGATCGTTGAGGGGGCAGGCCTTCTCGGAAGGCGGCGGGACCTCTCAGAAGCCATCTGGCCTTCTGTCAAGGGAGGAAAATCCACCTGGACTGGACAGTTGGCGTTTACTAAACGGCCCTGGGCGTTTCCTCAACAACCCTGCCCTGTTTGACTCCTTCTCTGGGTGCGTTTACTAAACGGCTTCATGTGTCGGGTTGGTTATTACCGGGGTGTGATTTTCTGCCCTCTATTCTGAGAAGTCCTGCGCGGCTCTGGAGAAGGGGCAGAAAGCTCATCGGAGGACAGAGGCATTCAGAACCTTCTATTAGGTCGGGCGTGTCCCCCTACACGCGGATTTTGGACGAAAAATCCAAGATACCCCAGAGATAGTCAAGCATACCCCCAAAAAGATAGTAGCAACAAATCGTCCCCAGGCCATTTTTTGTTGACGATTTCTGAGTTGTCCTCCTGAAGAGGGACAGGCCCGACTCAAGCCTTCTGGAAGGGCCCGCCCCCTCTGCCTTCCCCCCTGGGCGCGCCGCGCAGCTGTGGCTCCGCGTCGGGTCGCGAGCGGCTGCCCCGTCGCTGCGGGTGCTTGCTGCTGCCGTGCCCTGCTGCCAGCACAAGCTCGGGCGTGTCCCTCTACAGGAGGAACGTCCAAAATAATGAGAAATAGTCTGGGGACGATTAAACAAAAAACACTTTTGAGCCTGTTTGGGAATCTGTTTTCGTATTTTTGATCTTTCCTCCGAGGTCCCTCTCTGGGAGGACACGCCCGACCTCATGCCAGCACGAGCTCCACCTCCGGCAGGTTCGTGTCGTGCCGACGTGGCGGCGACCCCGGCGAGGGCGCTCTCGAGGGTGGAACGGCCGCCTGGGGCCCAGCATCGGCCACTGCATGGATCGGGGGTGGACAGAACCCCCGACAGGGACACGTCGATTAGTGAAGTGTCCGTTTTCGGTTCTCGAGAGGGCGCCGTGGCAGTTATTTTCCAGGCTTGCGCCCGCCAGGTTTGGGCCTCAGGTCGTGTTCACTAAACCACGTTTTACGAAAGGGGGGTCTGTCCATCCCCGAATGGAACGATCCGGCGATCGGAGAGCCGTCGATCGTTCCATGCTGAAGGATCCACGCAGTGCCTGGAACCAGCGCCGAAGTTCAGAGGAGGACAAGGTACCCTTACCTCTACCCTCTCCTCGTTTTCCCCTTTCTGGGCCTCCTGGGCCTCCGTCGTCGCCACCGCTGGATTCGCCTCGAAGTCCTGGTCAGAACGCACCCCAGCAGCGGTCCAGGGAGTAGCGCTATCGGTACCTTGTGGTGTCCCCAGAAGTCGTCACGACACGAACTTACGTCCCGCTTGGCGCCTGCACGAGCCTGGGCTGACGTCAAGCTGCGCCCGTGCTGCTACCCTGCACCCTGGGCTGTTCCATCCCAGCTCATAAATCATGCTTCTTGCTGCATGCTTGGGAGGCGCCGGTGGTCAATTTGCTCGGGCCCATGTAACTATTGGGGTCAATTTAGGGGGAGATAGACTCAGGGGGGTTGCATAGATCCCCAAAGGCCGATCCATCGCCGATAAGGGCCCGACAGCCCACCTCCTCCAGAAACGTCCGGACTTGCTATCGGTGTCCTATCGCCGATCTAACGGCGATGTATCGCCGATCCCAGCTCAATATTTTCTCCCTGAGCCCGTCCCCCCCCTGGCGCTTCCATTCACCTTTGAAGGAAGGGCGTTCGAAATCGACAGTCGTATCAAGTGTCAGGCGGCGTGCGTACCGAACGAGGATAATTTCACCGGTCTGCCAGTTCCTCAGGAGGATGTTCCTGGGTGCCTGACCCAGAGCTCTGACGTCGATTTTCTCACAGCGTGGACCCCTGGAGATCACGACCCATTCCCCAGCACCCGCTTTCCATCCCGAGCCGTTCCTTGACGGTCCTGGGGCCCGGCGAGGGCCCCTGTGGAGGCCGAACTTTCGCACCGAGAGGAAGTCGGGGTAATCTCTTCTCTGGCAGAGCAGCAGCGGGTGTCCATGCCGAGGGCTCGAGTGAGCCGCTCGGGGGAACGCCACTCTCCGCCCGGCTGGCCCCCTCGGCGCGCCGGCGACTCCCTTCGGTCTAGGCCTCCTAGATGGGGTCGGAGTAGATGTGGTCGGAGGATGGCGCCGCATCGGCGATGCATCGGCGATGCATCGGCGATGCGGCTCGATGTGGGGCCCGTTTTTCTCCACGCCGACGTCGCGGATGCATCGCTGACGCCCCCAGTGCATGGCCGATGCATCTCCGATGCATCGCCGATGTATCGGCGATGCGGCGAGATCCTCCGACCCCATCTACTCTGACCCCATCCAGGAGGCATCTATTCGGGGGCAGGTAGGTCTCAGAGGGGGGGAACGGGGGTCAGGCTGAGACGTCCATCCGCGCGGTGAGCTGCCCGTCTCCCCTTTCGATGGACAAACGGCGCGCACAGAAACTGTTGAGGGTCCGCGCGGGCTTCCTGGATCGGAGCCAGGGCCCACCTGGCGGCCCTGTCGCCGCCCTTGTCGCCGCCCTTGGCGCGCTCCGCGCGCCAGGGTGGGGGAAGTCCAGCGCCGACCCAAGGAATCTGCTCGGACCTTCGAAGATTTGGTTCACGCATTTGTTGTGCCCATCTGGGGGAACTGCTGGTCTCTTTCCTCCTGAGGGAGTGAGGAGGATCTTATCGCCTCTTTGCTACTGTTCCCTCGGCTCGAACGTGAACACTCAGGACGGAGGCGTCGACACCGCCCGATCGGCTTTCTGCGGGTCGAGCTGAGCGGCGAGGGATCGGAACCGGAAGAACGAATGTGGATATGTTCCATGGCGGGGGGTGAAGAGCAGGACCGCACATCGGTTAGGTTGGTCAGGCGGAGCCGTTAGTTAAGCAGTGGGTTCCTGGAGTGCGCCATTGTACATTCCTGGTCTGAGTGTTTTGGCGGAGCCCATCCGAGGGTTCGGAGAGAGGGGGAGAGGAGAGAGAGTCTGGATATGCTCCAGAGGTTGAAGGTTTGGCGCGATGTCGCTCTCGCGTGACCCCTTGCCCCCTAACAAATGACTCCCGCTGGTAATCACGCTGCTCGTGGACCGATTTAGCGCCCGCCACAGGAAGTAGTTGGGCCCCGCAGTAACTAGTCATCATGTGCGGTACAAACAGTCAGAAGCATAATCGCGTGCAATGTCATGCCAATGACGTCAATTACACCCGCTTGGAGCCACGTGCATACGTCTCTCTTTCGCGGCTTTTCTTCCACTGAGCCCGAAGCGTCGCCGAGGCCAACGAGATCGAAGAAGACTCCGCGGACTTTACCCCTGTTGACCTGCTGTGCTACATGTCTTCCTCCCTTTTCTGACTTGCAAGCTGGTTTCTTTTTCGCTTCCCCCCAGTGATCCCCCGCAGTCACTGCAGAACTGGGCCTCGCTTTCCCTCTCTTCCTTCAACTTTCCGTCCACCCCACCCTTGGATTGTTCCTCCGCTTCACTCTCTTCCGCTTCGCTTACCCCCCAGGACATCCCCGATCATTCGCATCATGTGTACGGAATCGCACAAGAAACACAGCAGGTGATGGAGGGTGGCTTGCCGAGAAGTGTGCAACGAGAGTATGAGCTGTCATGCCGGCAGCAGCATTCGCGATGGCGACGGCAGCAGTGTGATGAACGAACAGCAAGCGAAGCCAACCATTCTTCAGCAGGCAGCGGCACCGGCAGCAGCTGGTGGCAGCAACAGCGACTATGGCTGGAGGTGGTGATTGGTCGCGGCAACGTCGGCTCGGCCGACCACGGCTCCACCAGAAGAGCCGCCGAGGCAGAGATTTGGATCGGACTCCACTGGGTGCGAGGGGAAGCGCGAGAAGGAGGAGGACGCAGCCGCAGCAGCAGTGAAATCCGCCACCTCCCCAGGACTTCTTCCAGTGTGCTGTGGCGCTGCTGAGACTACACAAGGGGAATTGTGAGCAGGACCTCGCCGCGGTGACCCTGCGAAGTGTGAGGAGCAATCGCTAGAGAACTCGCATCATAGATGGGGGCACACTTGTCGTCAGCCCGATTCCTCAGTGTGAGCATCGTGTTGTATAGGCAAGGAGGGAAGCAGGCAGACATGCGGTGGCTGGAAACATCTGAATGAGCGTGTTCTACCGTTGCTGGCAGAAAACCGGGGGGGGTCACTGGGGGTCTCCAACCCGTCCCCCCCCCTCTCGAAAACCGGGGGGGGCACTGGGGGTTCCAACCCCCCCTACCCCCCCCCCAGACCATGATGAGAAGGGGGGGTGTCACTACCGGTTCGAAGCCCTGCCCCCTCCGCCCCTCCTGGAAAACCAGAGGGGTCACTGCCGGTTCGAACCCCCTCCCCCCCCCTCCCCCCTCGCCGCAACGACTCCCCTCCTCTCCCACTCCGGATGGGGGACTGGCGGGGACAGTGGTTAGGACGGTGGTGGGGATGGTGGTGGGGAGTGGGGACAGTGGGAAGAGTGGGACCGTGGTGGGGACAGTGGTGGGAACGGTGGGGGCAGTGCGACAGTGGTGGGGGCACTGGCGGGGACAGCGGGGACAGTGATGGGGACTGGGGACAGTGGGACAGTGATGGGGACAATGGGACAGTTGGACAGTGGTGGGGACGGTGGTGGTGGGGACAGTGGTGAGGGGACACTGGGACAGTGGTGGGGGCAGTGGTACAGTGGTGGGGACAGTGGTGAGGGCGGTGGTTTGGACGGTGGTGGAACAGTGGTACAGTGGGGAGAGTGGTGGGGACAGTGGGACAGTGGTGGGGACAGTGCGGACAGTGGGGCGGCACAGTGGGACAGCGGTGGTGACAATGACAGTGGTGGGGACGGTGGTGGTGGGGACAGCAGTGGGACAGTGGTGAGGAGGGTGGTGGTGGGGACAGTGGTGAGGGCGGTGGTGGGACAGTGGTGGGACAGTGGTACAGTGGGGAGAGTGGTGGGGACAGAGGGGACCGTGGAACAGTGGTGGGGACAGTGTGGACAGTGGGGCGGCACAGTGGGACACAGGTGGGGACAACGGGAACAGTGGGACAGTGATGGGGACAGTGGGGAGAGGCGGACCGTGGTGGGGACAGTGGGGAGAGTTGGATCGTGGTGGGGACAGAGGTGGGGACAGTGGGGACAGTGTGGACAAGTGGCGGACAAGTGGGGTGGGTGCACACGGGGCGGGGACTGGTACAGGAGTGAGTCAAAACAGCGAGCTGGGGGAAATGGACAAAGTAGGTGAGAACATATGTACAGTGGGGGGGAAGTGGGAGCGGGTGAGGGCTGGGTCAGTGGGGACATTGGACGACGGTTTGGGTCATTGGTGGGACAGGGGGACAGGGCGGAACAGGGGACAGTGGTGGGGACGGTGGTGGTAGGGACAGTGGTGAAAGCGGTGGTGAGGACAGTGGTGGGGACCCGGGGGTCTTTTGCTGGCGGCGAGGGGGGGAGGGGGAGGGGGGGGTTCGAACCGGTAGTGACTAGTGACCCTCCCCCTGGTTTTTTGGAGGGGGGGGGGGCGTTCGAGAACCAATAGTTGACCTCCCCGACCGCGTTTTCCGATAAGGGGGAGGGGGGATGGTTTTAGAGGGGGGGGGGTTTTGGCGCGTGGTAAAGGGGGGGGGGTGGGGGGCGGGGTAGGGGGGTTCCGAAGCAGCAGTGGAGGGGGAGGGCATTTTCGGAGGTTGATATACCCTCGGGTTCCGGAGGAAGAGGGGGGGAGAATTTTCTAGAGTAAAGCGGCGGTGGATCACGCTCTCTCAAGCATCTTGACCATCGTGTCGGTGGTCAGTACCATGTGGACAGAGGGGTTGTACATCCAGCGTGTTGCTTTCAGACGTTCGCATCATGCCACCCAATGCCACACCGGGGGGATCCCAGCAGGCGTCCAAGGTTGAACTCGACACTCTTCGTTGAGACTTGATGTCTTTGTGTAATATATATATATACACATACTTACGAGGTTGCTGTGATCAATGTGTACGCACGCCGCGAGATACGTGCTAGGTTGTGCTGCGGCCACGATGCATCTCTGAAGTCGGTATGTGCCCCATGCACTACTTTGGATCCATCCGTGGGGTTGTTTTAAAACTAGTCGTGATATTGCCTCGGAGTATTTACAATGATGTGTAGGATTTGCTTCTATGTGGGTTTGGGGCCTCCGTGATCATTAACGAAGCAGGCGTGATGACGGCTTCTACAGTTCTGAACTTGTTAAGCGTGGCCATGCAACGTTCCATGCACGGTCATTCACATTATGATGCCGCTACGACGATCCACACGTACGACATGGATATCCTCCTTCATCCCTCGCCCTCTTGCAAGAGGCCATCGAGATCTGCTCCAAGGTTCTTCAGAGGAACCCGATCGACCCCTTCGCGCTGTTGGTGCTGCCCAATGCCTACGTTGCTTCCCTCACGCTGACTCTGCTATTGTCGCTACTTGTGTACGCAGGGGGCGCCGAACCTCTGCGAGTTGTTGCAGTGCAGGTTCGCCTCTGAGGCGGCGATGGGGTATGACTTCACGCACGCCCAGTTCTTCCCCACAACTTGGCTGCGCTCGAAAAGGGCATATGTTTCTTAGAAGATGTGCGCATGCCACTATCTTGTATGCCGTACCTCCAGGGGAGCAGGAGGAGGAGGAGGAGGAGGAGGAGGAGGAGGAGGAGGAGGAGGAGGAGGAGAGGAGGGGAGGAGGAGGTCAAGAGAGGAGGAGAGAGGAGGTGGAGGACGAGGGAGGAGAGGAGGGAGGAGGGATGAGGAGGAGGAAAAGGAGGAGGAGGAGGAGGATGGGGAGGACGAGGAAGGAGGAGGAGGGGCGGGAGGAAGGAAGAGGGAGCAACCCCTTACCCGGCGTCCCCACGTGGAATGTTCGGGGAGCGCTTTCTTCCCCCCCGCTCCCGCTACACGAGCGGAGCGAACAGGTCTGGACGGGGCCCTGCACGGTCACGTTCGGTTATGGTGGGGGCTTAGGCCCGCTCGGCCGCGACGTAGTTCTGCTGAGCGAAAATGTTCCGCGACCTAGCGCTCCGATGAGGGCTGCCCGGACCTCCATCGCCACCTCCTACCCCTCCTCTTCCGCTCCTCTTCCTCCTCCATTCCTCCTCCTCCTCCTCCTCGCTCCCTCGGGTGTCGTCCGTCGCCTCCTCCTCCACCCCTCCTGCCTCCTCCTCCTCCTCCCTCCTCTCCTTGTTTCCTCTTCCTCCTCATCCTCCTCCTCCTTCCCCTCCTCCTCCTCCTCCTCCTCCTCCGCGTGCTCCGGCTCTGGAGGGTTTCTCTTCTTGAGTTCCTGGACGTCTCGCCCGCTCTCGGTCATCATGGCGTTCTCTCTGGCTTCCACTGGGTGCCCCGAGGTGCTCTTTCACCCCCTTATCCCTAACAGCGTTTCGCTAGAGGGTTATCATCGTGCTAAAGAGGGCCTCAGAAAAATCAGGGAGGGAAGAAACACATAGACACAATGAATCGTGCATCTCCAGGAAAATATGGGAAGATATGGGGAGTAGGGGAGAATACGACAACTCAGGAGATATGGGACAATATGGGGAATCCTGGGTTTTTTTTTATTTGTGTGTCCCTGGACCCTTGTAAATAAGTCCCACAGTGGGGACGGGGAGCACGTGCACGCCTGGTGCGGACAGCCGTTTCGCCTGAGACCCCCTCACGATTTATTCAGTAACCGTGCTCTTGCATCCTCGCTTGAGTTGGAGAGTTTCTCCGAAGGGCTTAGGCGACCCGTCCTCCTCCTCCTCCTCCTCCTCCTTCTCCTCCTCCTCCTTCTCCACCTCCTCCTCCTCCTCCTCCTCCTCCTCCTCCTCCTCCTCGGGTCGCCTACGGCCCCGGGGGAAACCGTGCAGCCCGAGTGCTGGCTACAGGTTCGGACGGCCACGATCCATTGTAAAAAAACACGCTGTGGTGCACATGGCCGTGCTCTCACCCCTGTCACACGGCCACTATCTCGGAGAAGTCATACTGCGGTGCTCATGTCCGTGCTTTCTCGCCCCTATCACACGGACACGATCCTTCATAACAGTAGCACACTGCGGTGCACGTGGCCGTGCTCTCACCCCTGTCACACGGCTACGATCCCTTGGAACAAGCACTCTGGGGTGCACATGGCCGTGCTCTCATCCCTGACACGGTCACGCCTAGGAATCCACAGGGATACACAGGAATGCACATGTCACGAGCCGACCTGCTTCTCGACCCGCCTCTTCACCTTTGCTGCTATCAGGGTACTTTGCCAGGGTATTTGTTGTCGTTCGCTTGTCTTGTGATATCGTGTGGTCTTCTTCCGGAAGTCTGGAGCTGCTCTCACCCATGCTGCCCATGCGATTCTGTCCAGCTTTTCTTATCTCCCCTTTGGTATCTGCATCGGTTCCATGACTCCTTGATTTTCATAGGTGCGCCAGCCTTTCTGGACGTCCTGTTGCATATGTCGCGTCCTGGTGGAATGCGCGCCGGGTGGTTGCCTGTGCCTGGCTCCTCCCGAGTCTTCCTGGAGCTGCTCATGCCAACGCACAGCTGATGGTGCTCGTGCCGAGCCTTCTTTCGGGTTCCCAAGCCCCGTGATGTCATCGATGTCTCCTCGAATGCTTGCCCAGGGCCGCTGCCGCCAGCTGGCCGCCATGTTGTTTAGGGCTTGTGAGTTCTATCAGCGCCTCCAGATGTTTAGTTCTTGGTTTTACATTGCCCTCCTCTTCGATGTCTGTTCATGGGGGCCTTGGGCGGCGATATCCAACTTAGTTTTTTCTTCCGGAATTTGGACAGAATTTGGGCTGTATTTGGCCCTCCCTCCTGCTCCTCCTCGTCCTCCTGTTCCTCCTCCCCCTCCTCGTCCTTCCCGTCTCCCTTGTGACATGGGCGGTTTTGGTCCAAATTCGGTCCAAACCTGGTCCCACATGTGCTTCAGATCTGGACCAAATCAGGCCCAACTCGGACAGGGCCGGGGAGCACAGAACAGACACCAAGCGTCCCTTCCTCCTCCTCCTCCTCCTCTTCCTCCTCCTCTTCTCTTCCTCCTCCTCCGCCTCCTCCTCCGCCTCCTCCTTCCCGTTCCTCCTCCTCCTCCT